TTTAGGATTCCTTTCTTTGTTTTTTTTTTTTTTTTTTTTTTCCCTCTACCAGCGATTAAACAACTCAGGTCCTTGTGCTTGAGAGGCAGGAGGCAGAACCACTGAGCTAAATCCTCGGCCCAAGCCCCAATAAATTTAAAAATCAAATTTGAAATCACACAAAATACTTTTTCTGATCATAATGAAATTAACTTAGAAATCAATAACAGGAAGAATTCAGAATATTCACAAATGCGTGGAATTAAACAATATACTCCTAAATAACCAAAGGATCAAAGAAAAAAAATCACAAGGGAAATTAGAAAATACTATCACATGAAATGAACAAGAATGGAACTACAACATTCCAAAGCTTATGGTATTCAATAAAAGCACAACCAAGAGCTGGGCATGGCAATGTATCCTTATAATCTCAGCTACTGGGAAGGCTGAGATGGGTGAATCACAAGTTCAAGACCAGTTTGAGCGACTTAGTGAGACCTTGTTTTAAAATAAAACAAAAAGAAGCAGGGATGTGGCTCAGTGATAGAGTACTTGCCTAGCATAAGCAAGCTCCTGGGTTTAGTCTCTAGTACCCCTACAAGGCAGTGCTAATAGGAGAATTTATACCTATAAATGCTTATAATTTAAGCAAAAGAAAACACACATCATAGTCTACTTTAAGATGTTAGAAAAGGGGCTGGGAGTGTAACTCAGAACACTTGCCTAGCATGCACAAGGCCTTGGGTTTGATCCCCATCAGTGAATGTGTGTTGTGGGGGGGATAAGAGAAAAAGAAAAAAAAAACTAAAATCAAGAATGAAAAAAGGGACATTACTACTAATCTTTAAGGAAGAAGGAAGAAGAGGAGGGGCGAGGAAGAAGAGAACAACAACCTGAAGACTGAAAGAAATTATTCATAACACATATACTAGTTAAAGCTTTTTACCCAGACTATATGAAAATGCCATATACTGTAATTGAGCAGCAAACAGACAGCCTAATTTTAAAATGGGCTAAGGATTTTACTAGAAATATACAAACAGGATATCGACATACAATAGTTAATATCATTAGTCATCAGAAAATTACTAATCAAAACCACAATGAGATGCTACCAACTCCCACCCACTAGAATGACTGTAATACAAATGATGGAAATGATAAGTACTGGTAAGGATATAGGAAAATTGGAAGCCTCACACACTGGTAGTGGGAATGTCAAATCATCTAGCTACTTTGGAAAATAATTTGGCAGTCCCTCAAATGGTTAAATATAGACTTTTACCCAACAATTCTCCTATGTATATAACCAAGAGAATTGAAAACATATGTTTGCAAAACTTGTACACAAATATTCATAGCAGTGTAATTCATAACACCCAAAACCAGAAACAACTCAAATGCCTATCAACTGATGAATAGCTAACAAA